AAGAGGTATGCGCCTGATGAATCAAGCATTATGCTTTGACTGAGGGTGCGGCATAGCTGCTTTCGCTGTCGGTTTGACGACTCTTTGTTCTTTTGGCTAGTGCTATAGACCGGATGAGTTTCGGTGCGTATGGAGAATGCAGGTCGTTGTCTTTGCCATCCAAGGCGGTTCTCATTCTGTTCACGAAGTCCGTCTCTTGGAGTTGGTTTGGTTTGTCTAGGTTGGTTCGAGGCGATATCCTTTAAATCTGGTTCCATTCCGCATTTAATAAGGCATAGTGTCTTTTGCGGTTTTGTGTGCTCCTATCTCAGTTTGATCATTCTATAGTTACTTTGATTAGCTATGATCACTTGGTCTTGTAAGGTTTGGATGGTGTAATTAGGTGTGGTAGATCGTGTTTTCGGTTTCTCTTTTGTCGATGTGTGGCTCCTTTGTTTGGACATTTATGTGGTCCGTCGGCTTTTGGCTCCGGGGACATTTCTGTAGTCCGTCGGCTCATGTAGTTCTATTTGGTTGTTTATACGTCCAATATAATATAACTTAAGATGCAAACAAAAAAAAGTATACTCTCCGGTTCAAGTTAAAACAACACACTACCACGTGTCGCATATCTATCGAGCCACAGTGAGTGGAATATGTGTGTTGATATGCGTACTGCTAAATGTCGAAACATCTGCATTGATTTGATATATAAACTTATGATAATAATCAACCCCTTTAGATCTTTTATGTTTTATCTTTATTTTCAAAATTTTTGAGGCCATTACCATATAATAACAGTAACTCGATGATTATTTTCAAAGCACGTTCGCAAAAGATGTGGTCTATATTTTAAGCCTAACGATTTACTCAATATTCTAATTTTTGTGGAGTGACGATTCCACAATCAAAAAGTCATAATAATACGAAATTCTCATTAATTCTAAAAAATAAATTTAAAAAGTATTTCTTGTGATAAACATGTAAGCGAGTTTAATTGATGTGGCTTACTTGAAAAGAAGAAACAACGATGATTGAGATGGATCATTGATGATAGTGACCATAGTGCGAGTTATGGAGCAATATGAGCTTCAAGCCTTTCGCTGCACCACCACTCTCTCCTCTTACTCCATTATTGAACGTTGACTTCTTCCTGTAAGGGAAACAAGTTCGGTTGTTGTACCTTTCTCTCAACACGACGTCGTCTAGATGACTCCAAGTCCTTCCTCTCACTGTACTCTCTCTCCACATAAACCTCTCCGAGAACGGATTCACAAGACTCTCGTAGAACTCATGTGCCGTCTCGCAAATCACTCCCTGAAACCAAAGCAGTGACTATAATTACACACAACACAAGAATGTTGTTCTGTTTTTAAAAAATGATACATAATTATTAACAATTGTTACCTCTGCCATGGCTTTGATCTTGAGAGTTGTATCGTTGCTAATAAGAACGAGTTTTTCGTCGCTGTTAATGTTTCGGTAAAGAAGAGCACATTCGAGAACTTGATCTTGTGATGTAGGAGAATCGATCTCTGGTGCATTACTACTATTCCAGTGAAATGAAAATGGGAATGCTGCTGAGCCGTTTGACTGAGGAGTGACTGGTGGTGTTGGTGCATTTGCTTTGGTTTCCTCTGATGAGCTCTGTAGTTGAATCCACCATTTGGTATTAACCATACAATCTTCGATCCAATCAAGAGCTGATGAAGCAATCTCTGGTGTTGTTCTAAAGAGAAGACTGCGAGTGCGCTTAGTCTCATTTAGTTCCCTTAACACTTTGAACAATGGAAACCAAAGCTGAGTGAGTGATGTTTCTTATGAGAACATAGTCAAACTGAAATAAGAACCTAAGTTATCACACAGAAATTCTTCCACATCTGTATGATAGATTCATATGCCATATGCATTTGCAGCTTTAAGTGAAGATAGAAACTATTATCTGTGTATGATAGAATAAACAAAGACAAAGAGTTCAAGGTATGTAGGTTTTGTTTTACCTGTTCTTGGTACGACCAGGTGTGTCCCCTTTAGACCTTGTAGTAGGTGCAGTGGCTTCCTTGACTCTTTGTCGAGGAGTGAAGAAGTGTCCAACACAATTGTCCACTTTATTTTGCTCTTGCCATCAGAAAGGAGCTAAAACACATTGAGCTTATGGTTACTATCAGAACTACAAAAGGAAGCAATGACAGTAGAATTAGTTGGGACTTACAGAGGAAGAGCGAATGCCCCTAGAATTGTTGTTTCTTGCTGATGTAGTAGAAGAAATCTCGATGTATGATTGGCTTTGGGATGAAGATTTTTCAAGTAGAGGTTGAAAAGGTGCCCTTTCGACTTTATTATTCAGTGCCACCGCCTCATGCTTCACCTTTGATTTGCTGCTCATGCAGTTTAGATCTGATTTCTGGTCTTCCTTCACGTTTTCCTCCAAATGAATATCAAAGAAGGGTTTACGTGTTACTTTAGAGGAGGAGCCTTTAGTTTCCTTAATCTCACCGACTTCTCGCAAACGTTTTAGCATATGGGAGTTTGGAGTGAGATTCTCCTTATCTGGGGTAAAAATCTCTGGTTCTGTAAATGCCTCTGAAGTAAGAAGATCGATAATGGAAGGAACCTTTGACAAGGATGATCTGCCTTTAAGCATTGAAGAGCTCTTGCTCTTGCTATCTTTTATGTCACCAATGTCTTGTAATCTTTTTAACATATGAGAACTTGGAGTGAGATTTTCCTTGTCAGGAGTAAAGATCTCTGGTTCCAGTTTCTCTCCACCAAGATGAACAGTCAGAGAAATAGACTTGTCACTTAAAGCCTGTTTTCTCTGCAACTGGCCTTTTGGTTGCTTCCCTTTTTGTTTTTGCTTTCCTTCACTCCTGTTCGTCCGGATCTGAAGAACAGAAGCATCTTTTCCCCTCCTAGACCAAATGTTACATGTGCTCAATGTTCTGGAGGAGGTGGTTGAGCTATCTATCTCAGACAGTACATCATCTCTAACAGCATGTGTTTGCGGTGTCTGGTTTTCTTGACTTCCAGTATAATCAGAAGCCAGGTCTTCAATGGGTTTCGTATCCTCAAATGTTTCTGCAGCCAAGATTGAAGGCATTGGACTCCCCATATCACTATTTCCTTCTCTCTCTATTTCGCTTAGGCTGTAAGATTCTTCTGATATCGCAGAGCCAATTGACATGTCTGTTTTGGGTTCTTTATTTGGTGTCAACAAGAAACTTTGTGTACCACTCTCTTTAAGGTCCTCAGAAAGGCACGAGCTGCTCCCTTCATCAAATATCATTTCCGTCTCTCCGGTGATTCCTGATTTTTGAATCTGATCTCCAACAGGATTCCCTTCATTCCAGATCTCAGATGAAGCCCTCACTTCACTCTCAGGTGGTGGATGCCAACTCGAGCATAGACTTTGGATATCTTCTGTACGGACTCTTGAAAGACGTTCGTTTGCAGCGACCAAACAATCAGATACTGCACTGGCTTGCCTTGAACCAACATTCCTTTCTCCATTGCTATTCTGATGTAGGTTCTCACTATCACTCTCTAAGGCCACTTCACTCTGGGGTTCAGAACCTAAGTCTCCGACATCTTCAGTTAAAAATTCTAAAGTTGGCTCAGTTTGTGGGAGGGAATTGGGGGATACTGCAACAACTTGCCTTGAGACCTCAGTTTCTCCCTTGTCTTCGTGATTCTGAGTTACATCCTTAGTTACTGGTTCGGCAGATGCTTCCATTACTTGCTTTGTGACAAACTCAGTGCTCAGAATCTCAACCTCTGCAGCCAATTCAAATGCAAAAGAACCTAAGGCTTCAATGCAGCCATCAATTTGTCCCTTACTTGGGAAGCAGCAGCTACTTGAATTTTCTGCGTTGGCTTCTGTAATATTTATGGCCAACTCTTGTGAAACCTGAACATCTTCTGTGAGCTGTAGTTTTTGGGTCTCAATGAAATCTCTTGGCAGTGGAAGCGATGAAGCCTCCTTTGCAGCTAGATATGGATCCTCATCCACATTGGGGACTGCTGATTCCATCCTCTCTGACATCATACTCAGATGCAAATCCACTCTGACATCACATGCATCAGCGTNTGCAGCAACTTCAAGTTCAGAACAGCCTAAGACCTCACCACTCTGCTTCTTACTTGGGGTGTAGCTGCTACTTGGCTTTTCTGCTGCGGCTTCTACAACATCCAAGTCCTCCCACGTTGATGAAGTCTGCAAATCTTCATTATATTTTAGCTTTTGTGTCTGGACACAATGACTAGCTAGTGCCAAACTTGGAGATTCAGGTGACAGCGAAATCTCCTCTGTCCTGATATGTGTATCCTCATCCTCACTAGGGACTGATGATCCAGTTCCTTCTGACGTCACATCCAGATGCAGATCATCATCATCACCTGATGCAGTCTTTGCTAGAGACTGCAGTAAAGGCAGGTTACATATTCAGGCTAAGCAAATAACACCAGATAAGTATAGAGCTACGCAAAATAAGGACAGATAAAACTAACAACACTGCATTAAGGGACTTAGCAAACACGTTTCAAATGCTAACAGAGAGAAACATATGAGAGAGTCGCTCAAACCTGATGTGGAATTTCTTCTTCAAACGTTCTATTCTCTTCTTCTACCTCCATAGCTGTAGATGCGTCAAGTGGTGGAACAAATGGATTGTCGATATCATATGCACGGCTAAGCGGAATCCAGTGCAGCCTATAGATCCTTGTTGAACCACCAATTCTAATAACATCACCTTCCTTCACCTCAACACAAGCACCTGGCTCTACTTTCTGATCCGTAACCCATGTCCCATGAACTAAATTAAGGAA